ATTTCATTCTGCCATATTTGCAAACTTGATGTAAATTTTTATTTCAATTAATTAACCTAATACTTTCTTATAACACACATAAAACAATGAAAAAACAGTTCAGACTAACAATTCATTAAAACAAACTAACATAGATCTCTATTCTTGTGTGCTGTCCTTAATTCTGGAATCAGCCTGTGTACATCTGTTGGCACACATGTCCATGCTCATTCCCTAAACTGATCATATCTCTTGAAGTTATCTGATTCTTATAACTTTCTGTGTTACACTGCATTGCTTGTCTGTCTCCTAATTTCGATTTAGCTAAAATTGCTTTTATTTGTCTGATTATCAGTTTACGAGGAAAGGCTTTAATTGATTTATCTCCACATGTATTTTCTCTGTCAAAATTTTCAATCAACAAATTCTGCACTTCTTCCTCTGCCTAAATCCTCAAGTCGTTTTAACCCCTTCATTATTGGTTTCCCTCCTTAAGTTATCCAAGAACAAAGCTACCTCTGTCACAGTGCTTTTTTCTCTAGCTAACACAATTGCAGTTGGATCTAGATCTTGAAATTTTTTCACAAATTCATTAATTAACTGATCTTCAGAAAAATCAGCAACAAGTCTATATGCATTTTCAAATTTTACAAGAAAACTAATTATATCCTCCCCTTTGTGTGGTTTTAGTTTTTCCAACATTTCAGTGTCTGCAAAATCATTCCCTGTTGTTAATTTTATTAATTGTGTTAATCTGTCTTGCTTATTTCCATATATTATTTCATCATTGTCCTCGAATTTTACAGGCGCGGTCAGCCTACATGCCATTTGAGTCGGCAGCCATATTTGAAATAGTCTATTCCTTTGTTCGTCATTTAGGCTGTATTTGTCCACATTAGACTCAAACATTTCAGCATTAGTAAATGCATCCACTGACGTGTCATAAACTGGAATACATTTCACAATTTTCATTAATTGTTCATGTATTTTCAAATTAAGTTTTGCAGTTCTGTCTTGGAATTTACATTTCTGCAAATCACTCTGTGAGGATACATTTTCAGTATCTATTGGTTCTGGGATTAGATTCTGTGCCTGTATTTTTCTTGTATTAACACACACTAGTTTAACTTCATTTCTAAGCTGGCAAATAAGATCATTTCTTAGTTCAACTCTATCCTCTAATTCACAGACTTTTTCTGACAATGTTCTCTCTGTTACTTTGTTACACTGGTCATTTAAATCTGATTTGTCTTCTGTTAACCCATTCAAATCTACTTCTTTTTCTGCTGATTCTAAATTGTCTTGACCTGCATTTCGTTTACAAATCAATGCATTGTAAGTACAGACTAGTTTCATAACATTTCTGATCTTTTGTTTTTTCTTATTAACAAACAATTTCTTGGCAATTTCAGTATTGGCAATTTCACATTGTGTGTATAAAGATCGCCACAATACAGCATCTGAATAGCTGCTATTAAATGCAAACTGCAATTTACTTTTCTCTGCAATATCATTTATGAATTCCATGTTACTCACCAGATCAGTTATCTCTGTCTATTTCGTTGCTTCATCCACACAGCTGCGCAGTTCTGGACGCTTGATTCTGGACGCGTGCCAATCTCTGCCACGTGCTTGCTTCTAGAATTCACGTTGTATCTTGTGCTTTTTGTCTCAGTTGTAGAAAATAGTCTTGTACAGTCTTTGATTTGAAAACTTTCTTTTTCTTACAAACCACAGTTCTTCTATGCTAATCTAGATTCTTTTTTTCTCTTCAAGTTTGTTTTCCCAGTTCCAAAATAGCTTTGTAACTCGATTCTTCTCTCTCCCCCCTTGAAGTGGGAACAAAACTTGAATAGAAGACTGGCTGGCTGGCCAATGTAAAAAACTAGATGAGAATGGAATTGGTGATAATGTTGAATCTTTCTTAATTTCTTCTTATCTTCAGTTGATTGATATATATACGTCTTTTGTATATATATTCTTGGGCCAAATGCTTGCCACAATAATATATGTCTATATTATTGAAAAGTAGTAATACGCAATCTGACTTACGGTTTCTTCAGGTTTATTCTTTGTTACGGATACATAATAAAACATAAAGGATGTTACAGGATTATGGACATTCAACAGCAGATGGTAATTGCTGGACTTCTGATGGGAGAGTTACATCGTTGTACAGAGCCAAGCCAAGACAGAGACTGCGCGACCTCGTGTCCCTCTGTTACTATATAGATGTGCTAATACTAACGTCAGCATATAACTCTAGCCATATAAGGACAAGACCCCCACACCCACATTCCAGAGCTCTCGGACAAAGAAAGCCTTGTGACTTATTGATACCATCTGTTACTTATGTCAATCCACACATCCATATATATAATCAATAGAAACATAGAATATGCAATATTCTACACTATTGTTCCTGTAAGTTTATTTGTAATTGTCCTATTTATAGTTAAATCCCCTTTCATAATATTGTAAAGCGCTACGGAATCTGTTGGCGCAATATAAATGGCAATAATAATAATAAGCAGTCAGTGTCCTTAAAGCGGGTGTGTTACGCTAACAGTGGATACCGTGACCAGTGCCACCACTCACTTGTGTCATAATAGCTTGAATTTAAAAACAAAAAACTTTTTTCACTGTTATAGATTGAATAGCAGTCAGTGTCCTTAAAGCGGGTGTGTTACGCTAACAGTGGATACGGTGACCAGTGCCACCACTTATCTGGTGTCACAATAGCTTGGATTTAAAAACAAAAAACTTTTTTCACTGTTATAGATTGAATAGCAGTCAGTGTCCTTAAAGCGGGTGTGTTACGCTAACAGTGGATACGGTGCCAAGTGCCACCACTCACTGGTGTCATAATAGCTTGCATTTAAAAACAAAAAACTTTTTTCACTGTTATAGATTGAATAGCAGTCAGTGTCCTTAAAGCGGGTGTGTTAAGCTAACAGTGGAT